GGCCGGTCCCCTCCCGCCATGGTGTTCCCCTGTCAGGGGGGTGAGGCCGGTCCCCTCCCGCCATGGTGTTCCCCTGTCAGGGGGGTGAGGCCGGTCCCCTCCCGCCATGGCTGCCCTGTCAGGCACCGCTGGCTGGGTGGTCGGGGCCGGTCCCTTCCCTGACAGGGGCGGTTGCGGGGAGCGGCCCTCACGGCCGCGCTGAGGAGAGCGCCGGTGCCGGGAGAGGAGGGGGCGGACGGGGGCGTCTCTCTCCTCGGGCGGCGCCCCGAAGCAGCCCAGCCCCGGCGGCGGCGGGGATCGGTTGGCCGCCGCCTGCGGGGGCCCTGCCCGCAGGACAGCGGCTCCCGCCGGCGGCCTGGGAGTGGGGGGGGGGGCCGGGGGGAGGCGCCCGCAGGGCGGGCTGGAGGCCAGGCCCCGCCGCCGGAGCTCCTCCTGCCGCGTGTGCAGGATCCCCGGGCAGCCGGCCGTGCCCCTCGCTCGGGAGGAGCCGGCGGTTCGTCTGTAGCGATGCTCCGCGGTTCCCTGCCACCAGCAGGCGACTGCCAGCGCTGGGCTGGCTGGCTGGCTGCGGGGCTGACCGCTGGGCAGCTCGCAGGGCTTGTGAGGAACCCTTCAGCCCGGTTTTCCTTTGGGAGGGAGCTGCACGCTGGCCCGTGACAACCCTCCCGAGCCTAGCTTTTCCGTAGAGCAGGATCAGGCTAAGGAGAACACCTCCCTGCGTTTAAACTGAGTCAGAGTTGCCATCATCTGTACACAAGACGTCCTACCAAAATAGTTAGGTCATTGGCGGGGCACACGCACACCACGCTGAATTAATTAGGAAGATTACCGTTAGTAACAACAGTTGAAAATTCAAAGTTACGAGCATGTGAAAATTGGAGAAGTCTTGCCACTGTTAAACGTTCTCGTTATTACTGCACGGGTTATCGCAAAACCAAGAGAAGCAACAGCAACCTAATTTTGTTTCACCCTCCCGCTTGCTTTCAGAAACTGAAAAGACAGTTCTTTTCCCAAGGCAGAAATCAAATAAATGCTGAAGTCTTGCTCTTAGGCCATGCTTCTGTAAGTCCAGCCTGCTGCACAGCAGAGGAAGCTGTCTTCTGCAACGGCTAACCTCTTACCCACAGCACCTCTATTTATAGCACTATATGCATCTGATGAACCGCACCTGAAACCTCTCCCTAACATTGCTGTTTCTGAGCAGGCCTAGCAGTCTCCTTTTGTTGCAGCGAATGGACTCAGTCTTTCTGCTGCCCAGCTGGAGGAGTAAGAAGTTGTGCTTGCTCCTTCTCCGATACCAGCTAATGGAAAAGTCGGTTTCTGTCAGTGTTGAATATGGCATCATTTGACCCATCACGTGTTGCTGCTAAAGAAAATGAAATGTCTGACAAAAGGATCACTAGATGTGGAGGAGGAATGTTGATTTTTCGTGAGCTTTTTGAATGAATCCAATTGAAAAGTTTTTTAGACAAGTTCTGTTTTTGTCTTACCGCCTTTGTCTGACTTGCGCTCCCAACCGTATGCTAATATTGCGGCAGATGATTGGGTAGCATCTGGCATCACTGTCTATCTCTGCATCTGCCTTTCCTTTCTGCGGTGCTGCCTCGTGGAGCCTGTCTGAACGATTGCACTTGAGTCTACAATCTGAATCCTGTTTTCTGGATGGGTCCTGGTTTTCTGCAGATTGCTAAACTGAACTTTCTGTATAGGATTATTCTTTCCAGAATTAAACGCCAGACTTTTCTCAAGCCAGACAGTCACTGCTGACTATGTTGGAATGTATTTAATGCTGAAAGCCCAAGTAACTTCAGCTCTTTGCTCAGGATGACCTGTTTTAAAACCACTTGAGTTTAGCCACGTTTGTCCCATCTGAATGTAGGGGTGTCAGTGTTTTATATGTTATAGATCCTGAATTAAACTATGAAAACATGGGAGAAATGCAGCAAGCTCTAGTATTTCCAGGTTTTAGGTTTTGCTTTCCAAAGAATGATATGTAACCTCATTAAGTTCATTAA